TAATGTTTATGGAGTCGGTAAACAGTGGATATTCATCATTCTGTTGTGTATTTCAGTAAAAATAACCAAATCAAAAAGTCCATTTTCAAGTTGCCGCGAAAACGTTTTTCTGGTCAATATGGCGTCTTACTAGTGTGTGACGTCACACGACTGTTATTAAAACGTCAAACGATATAATGTAATGTCACTTTAACCGGAAGTTTACTTGCGTGTGACGTCATTTTAGGCTCCGCCAATCCCAAGCGTTTTGGGTCACGTGACAATAGATAAGAAAACTATTATCTTTTCCGTGGGTTTTTACTAAAATTATGAATATTTAGTTGTAAAAATAGTGAAAAACCCTGCCAATATTCATTCTAAACACAGATGCTAACAATTGGCACTTTATTTTTAATACTGTCAAATACCCTATTTGTTTGTATACTATAGTCGCTTTGTTGAAAGACGAGGAGTCAGTTTGGACTATTTGATCAGTGTTTGTTTATATCACTAAAATGACATTTTGGGATTTGATGAAAACAGACAAAATACATCGATAAAGAGGGGTTCGATGGCGCAAGTGGTAAGCGCGTTCGGCTGCGATCGTTGAAGCTAAGCAACTTTCGCAGTGGTCGGTCATTGGATGGGTGACCAAAAATCTTCTATCTCGAGCTCCTCCGTGCTTCGGAAGGCACGTTAAGCCATTGGTCCCGGCTGCATCTGCAGTCGTTAGCACCCACCAATCAGCACTGGGTCCGCGTAGTGGGTCACGGCCCAATCTCCCTATTCCATCCATAGCGAAAGCCTGTGCCCCAGCAGTGGGAACATTAATAGGCTGATGACGATGATAAGACCTTTCAAATTAAACCTTCAATGTTATAATTTGAAGGCTTTTTTTATTTACATAAACAATTGTCATTTTGACATCGCCGTTATTAAAATTTTAACAGGTTAGGTATCCTAAGTAACCCGGGATAGTGAAAGGATTCTAATGATAACACACATCGCATCCTTCGCTATCCGGGCCAATGCACTGACCATTATGCTACCACGGCCCTATATGCGCGTCGAAATTTTCCTAGCCTTAAGCTGCAAGGCAGCGCCATCTCTTCGCATTGCAGGTAACCCACAATATCAAATGAATACTTTTTCAAGTATTAAACATTTGAAAGAAGAAATAGCAATTATAGTTATGATTTTATTTATTTTTCCACCGCTCTACCACCCCCTATAACTTCACACATCCTTCAAAAAATACTATTATAAAGTTTACTAGAAAAAAATCCACGCGGCCCGTCCGCTGCCTGGTCCGCGTGGATTTTTTTCTAGTAAACTTTTCTTCAGATTTAAATATCTAGCAGTTAAATGCTTAAAAAATAAATAAAAGCATAACGATAACACACATATTTAAATCGGTTCAGGCGTTTAGAAGTTATGGTGGAATAAAGAATACATACATACACGAACCTGAATAAATTACACACTTTCTTTTGGACAGTCGTGTAATTAATTAAGTAATAGACATAAATGTATGTCTATTACTTAATTGGTGGCTTTCTCGACGAATTTTGATGAAGAACCAGACAGAAATCCTTGAAAAAGGATATAGGCTATATTGCTATAACTAACTCGAACAATACATATTTTCGTAGAATCAATGAACCATACACATAGTTGATGATTATCTGAATGATCGTAATGGATGGACATAGTGTTTCTTATAAATTGTTATTTAATGGGTATTAGTCATTTTTCATAACAGTAATATTATCTCTTATCTATTAGACAAGTCCGTCTGTCTGTGGTGCTGTTTCAGCGGCCAAACCGTAAGAGATAGATAAAGAGAATATTTAAGTTATAAGTTAAGAATAGTCTGATAAGACTACAAACCGGATTTGAGTAACGTAGCACTTCCGGTTTTCGAGAAATCAGGTTTCGGTGAACATTTGGTTCACTGGTTTGCTAGTACCTATCTAATGCCGCTTCCTATATACTAAATATAATGTTAACTATAAAATTAATTATAACTATATATTTATATTCTAAATGATTTAATGGAAGGGGACTTCAGACGTATCCCTGAAGTCATTTTTCAACTTCACGACTCTGTATATAACAATACAGAGAGAAAAAAACAGCCCTTGCTGAGTTTCTTGCCGGTTCTTCTCAGTACAACGTCTCCCGCCGTAGTTTTGCGAACCGATGGCGTAGCATCTTGACCTTCACAAGTGCTTGTAACAGCCTAGACTGAATAAATGACTTTTCATTTCATTTCGATTAGATTATTTATACCATGTTCCACCAAAATTAGTTTAATGAGTTATTAATATTATGCTTATCCGCCAAACACGTTGAACTAAAGAACATTATACAAGAAAAAAATTCAATAGGTCCACGGGATTCGAACCCGCATCTTCCGCTCGGATAGCGGATAAAAATATGATAATCTACGTTGAATTAATGTTGACGGGTAGATGGACAGACAAAGCAACTTTAGCATTTTAAATGAGTTGGTATTGTTTACATATTCTATGGACATATTTTAAGTGACAATGACAATTAAGCTTTGTTAGCATAAATTTCCGGTGAAATTGTGAAAATTGCGAGCGGCCGAAGAAAAAATTCAGTATAGATAAGAGTAGCCATTAAATTCCTTTGCCTCGCTCCGTATCTAGAAAAGTAATTCTCTTGGAACGCATCCATTGTTATCTTCGACAGTCGTACCGGCGCGGAATGGAAAAATAATTGTACAGCACTTGAAAATTAGTAGACTACCAAGGGGATTTTTAAATTAGACAATCTTTTTGAAATACACCCGCGCACTTCCCGAACAGCGGCCGACAATAATTCACGTTCATTGGTAAGATAAGGGCATGAACAAAGAACGCTTCGGATGGTAAATCAAATTTTCCATTCTGTAACCACATTGTATCCAAAGTGAATAACTAATTGAGAAGTTAAGCTGATTAAGATACGACTTTGTTTCATAACTTTGTTCGTTGTAATGGAGAAAATTAATGTATTTCCATTGTGTACTGTACATTGAATTATTTTAGGATCGAACATTGAAATTTTTCATTGAACATTGAACATTGATATCTTTATCTTTAAATTTCAAAATCTAGCAGTCAAATGCTTAAAAATAAGTAAAAACATAACTATAATTGCTATTTCTTCTTTCATATGTTTAATACTTGAAAAAGTATTCATTCGACATTGTGGGTTACCTACAATGCGAAGAGATGGCGCTGCCTTGCAGCTTAAGGCTAGGAAAATTTTGACGCGGCCATGAGGGCCGTGGTAGCTTATTTGGTCAGTGCATTCACCCGGATTGCGAAGAGTGCGGGTTCGAGTCCCGTCCGCTGCCTGGTCCGCGTGGATTTTTTTCTAGTAAATACTTTTCTTTGGATTTAAACATCTAGCAGTCAAATGCTTAAAAATAAGTAAAAACATTGTTTCTTTTTTTTGTTTCTTTTTCTTGTTAAATTAATATTTTCTTATCTTATCGCACGCTTAATCATATACTGACCCATTAGTGTTTCGGTCATAGTTGAGTTAAGTATACTAAGATGTTTATTTTAACGCCCTCTTTCGGCCTATCTAGGATTTTTTTTAATATCTTATTTCTAGGCGGAGTTATACCTATGTCTGTCTCTTTCACACGCAAACCTTTCGGCAAACGTTTTTACGAGACAGAGACAGATATCAGTATGCATCAAGGACTAACATCGTAAACATCACGTGTGTTTATTTAAAAGTGTCAAATTAGTAGTTAAGTCGCTTTAGTGTAAAAATCAAAGGTAAGTTTTATTGAAATAATTTATACAAGTGTGGCCAATTGTTGAATATGTCTATTTAGTACAAAATAGGATCGAAGTATTCACGAATTATTTAGTGTTAGTTCTGTTTTATACAAAAACTTTTTAATAATTCTTTGACCGATTGTGTATTATGCCTATATTTTTTAAAAATTGTTCCGTTTTGCCGGTAGTGTTTTGTCGAATTTAGAAGTTACGTCAGTTTTTTACAAAATGGTTCTTGAAATCTGAAATCATACTTTGTTATGATTCTTTATTTTATAAAACACATTTGTCTAGTATAAAATTGTTGAATGCAGATTAGATATTGTGTCACTAATGGATTAAAATAATTTGTTTAAAAGAAATAAGAAAGTAACCTAAGTTTTTTTCAGAATGTCTTCAAGGTCGAAAAAGATAATGGAATTGCTTAATTCTACAACTGAACCTTCTCGTGACGATACAGAAGCTCAAATTCAAGATCCCATTCTAAACCCAGACCCTAGTCAATCTCCGTTTCTAAATAATACGTCTGATAGCAACAAAGTGGCGTTTGACATAGATGACGATAGTTCAGTTCAGAATGTTGCAGTTGATATCGTGGTAAGTAGTCGTAATTATTATTTTATTCTTTCGACAGGTTTATTCCTTTTTATTATTCCTTCCTTTCCTCTCCGTCCGGGCAACACTATGGAGACAGTTCACTTATTCGTGTTCTATCACTAATTATTCGCTATTAGTAGAATTTCAAGTAAAGTGACTAAATTTTGTGATTAATTTACTAGGAAAACTTCCGATTCCGATCCGGAAGGTGTTTATAAGAAGAAACGGACTGCCAAATGGGTAAACAATATATAAATTATACTATATTTATTTACCCTCAGCAGGAAGCGTTTTAAAGTACCCTCAACATTGAAGGTTTTAGGGTTGTCAGAATCAATTTGACGTCCAACTTTATCCAAACGCCAGAATTTGAGTTGCCAGCTTATGAAGATCTCCTCAGTATTGGGAAAAAGCAAATGATTGAGTTGACTGTTTAACTGTTGAGTGTGGTCTTAGCTGTCGCCTACCAAATCAATACTAATTCGTGACGTAAATAATCATCGCACTTAACTAGCTGCTCCGTTCGGCAGCTGCGAAGTCTACTCAATCTGCTTTGTAACTACAGGCGTTGGGTTCTATTACACTGCGGGTTTTCGACTCATACATTAACCGTAGTAAAAGATGCCTAATCTAGCACGATCACCACCACTTAACAAATCACATAGCATGTCTGATTCTGACGTCGCAAAATCGAGCAATCCCTTACTTGATGAATCTAAAATTATGCAGAGAGATAGTAAGCGGCGGCGATTATCAGATACGGTTACGGAAATTGAACATGATAATATTCGAACAATCATTCGAGAGGAGCTTCGTGATATGTTATGTTCTCTCCAAACTCAGCAAAATACACGATTGGATGCCTTTGAGCAGCATTTTTCAGAAATAAAGGGCCAAGAGGGCGATATAAAGAAAATAAATGCATTACTCTTAGAAATCAAAAATACCAACATAAGCATTGAAGGTACAATGTCCTTCCTTGCGTCACAAAATGATGACCTGAAAAATAAACTAGAACACCTGGAAATGCAAAACAAAAAGAATATTGAACATATAACAATTCTGGAGGAAAAACTTGAAGATATTCAGCGGGAGAAACGCAAGGCTAACATAGAAATAAAGAATGTACCCAAAATGACAGAAGAAACCAGAGAAACCTTGGTAGAAATGGTGACAAATCTATCAAAGACTTTAGGATGCAAGCTCGATGAAGGACATATCACAGACATCTACAGGTTAAAAGCTAAAAGAGGAACAAATGGAAACTCGCCAATTATAGTCGAAACCTCATCGTCAATGTTAAAAACGGAACTTTTGACACTATGTAAGGCATTTAATCGTAAAACTAAACCAAAGCTATGTGCAAAACACCTTGGTCTTAAAAAAAGCGAAGATACACCTATATTCGTTTCGGAACACCTGACCATCAAGGGCACTCGATTATTCTTTTTAGCACGGGAACTCGCCAAAACTAACACCTTCAAATATTGCTGGACTGCGTATGGACGGGTGTACCTGCGAGAGCACGACACGTCCCCCATAATTACTGTGAAAAGTGAATCCCAAATAAACGGCCTGATGCAGAAGAAGAAAATATGACTAAATATTATGCTTTCTGTGGAATGCATCAAACAATCCATTGTACCTATTATGTTTAAAAATATTATTTTAAATTTTGTAATAACCTCCAATATGTTGATATTATGTATAGTCGACACACTTAAAGATAATGACCACACACCAAACACAATCTCACACATAATACACTATCACACATATCTTATAAATATACACTTACCTTATCAAGCAAAATGCAAAACTAAGTGTTTTATAGTTTGCATAATTGGTTTTCAGACTCAAAAAAGTACAGAACTGTCTTTCAGCTCTTTTCTTGTTAGTGTTAATGGATAGCTCTCTCGTTAATTTGGAAGTAATAGACGAAATCCAAGTTGCGAAATCAAGAATAGATTCTATAAATAACTTCTCTAAAATATATAAATATAATGAAAACAAAGACTTTACCATAATCGCACAAAATATCCGTAGTATATATAAGAATTTTGATGGGTTAAGCGTCTCTCTATATAAGTTAAACTTCGAAGTTGATTTACTTGTTCTAACTGAATGTAGACTTGACGTTAATAAACAAACACCCCAATTAGAACAATATACGTCGTTCTCGACTACCAAGCATATAAACCGATGTGACGGAGTCACTGTTTATTTAAAAAGGAAATACAAAAGTAGCATCGAGGAAGTTGAATTAAAAGACGCATCATGTGTGCAAATCACATTAGCCACATGCACAATTTTGTGTATTTATCGATCTCCTTCTAATAATAATGGCGAAAGATTTATAAATGCCTTAAACTCACATTTGGAATGTATTAAAATGCACCGGAACATCATTATTACTGGTGATATAAATATAAATATTAATATCACAGAAAAACATACCGAAAATACATACGAACGCAAGAATAGGCTAACATATCTTGATATGCTTGCTTCACACGGACTCTTACCAGGTCATGACTTACCAACACGGGAGCACAGTTGCTTAGACCACTTTATGTTGAAATTGGAAAGCAATATACACACTGCATCTATTACTGTTTTTGATAGCACAGTAACTGATCATCGTATGATATTCTTAAATTTAACTAACAAAAGTAAGCTTAACGTAAAGGAATCAAAGTATAAGATAGTTACAAATTATGATAAAGCTATTCGGAGTCTAAAGGAAAGCAACTTAACTAGTCTGCTTCTTTGTGACAACCCTACAGAATTAACTAACATCCTAATTGCTAAATTACAACAATGTTTGATAACTAACTCAACAAAAAAATGCATTTCATCTAAGAATCGTATAATCAAACCTTGGATTACACCAGGTATTCTAAAATGCATCCGTAACCGGAATAATATGCAGCGAAAGTTACGAACTGACCCATATAACGATATTTTAAAAATAACTTACAGAAGGTATCGTAACTTTTGTAATAGCCTAATCAGAAAATTAAAAATAATCTATGAACGGGAACTTTTAGCTAACAACAAAAACAATCCAAGAACTCTGTGGCAAACAATAAACAACATAACAAACCGTAAAGCGTCAAACACAAAAAGCACGGCTTTGTTAGACATTCGAGATACCCCACAGCAGGCTTTTGACCATGCAAACACTTACTTTTCAAGTATAGGTAAAAATCTGGCTCAGAATATTTTATCAAATACCGTTTACCCACAACCCAGGATGAATAAAGAATCTATTAGCTCGCCAGTCCCGTCTTTTGATCTTTTCGAAACTGATTCGGAAGAAGTTTACAAAACCATTATGGGACTTAATTCTGATAGTGCTCCAGGTTGGGACAATATTTCTACAAGGTTCTTAAAACTAGCTAATGAACAAGTAGTCCCCATAATAACACACCTCGCTAACCTTTGTTTTCAGCAAGGTATATTTCCCGCTGCCTTAAAGAAAGCAGTAATTACGCCTGTATATAAGAGTGGGGACGGAAAGAACATATCAAACTATCGCCCTATTTCAGTTTTAACTGCGATATCTAAAGTACTGGAAAAAATAATAAACAAAAGACTTCAAAATTATTTGGACAAAATTGATTTTTTCTCTAAATCGCAATACGGATTTAGGCAATCCCTTTCAACCGAAGACGCAGTGACAGCGTTAACAACTCGTATTGTAGAGAACGTTGACCAAGGGAAAAAGTGTATAACAGTGTTCTTGGATTTAAAAAAAGCGTTCGATACGGTCTCCGTGCCCATTCTTGTAAAGAGGTTGGAGGGCATTGGTGTGAGAGGAGTTGCTTTAGCATTACTGATAGACTACTTAAATAAACGGATACAGCACGTAAAAATAGACCATTATACAAGTACTGACTGTGACGTGACGTATGGAGTTCCACAAGGGAGTGTTTTGGGACCAACTTTATTTTTGATCTATATTAACAATCTTTGTGACATAGTGATTAATGCAGGACAAGTTTTTTCATATGCAGATGACACTGCCATTGTTTTTACAGGCGATACGTGGGAATCTGTACGTCACGCTACGGAGAAGGGTCTGGCGAAAATAGGCCTCTGGTTAAAATATAACCTTCTAACCCTTAACTTAGAAAAAACTAATTATATTGCATTCACTAATTATACTTCTTCTCAACCTAACGCTAGCTATCAAATTCGAATTCATGAGTGTTATAATCGAGAAATATCCTGTTCTTGTAGGGCTATCAACAAAGTGACTGCAACCAAATATTTAGGAGTTGTGGTTGATCAGCGGCTTTCATGGCACGCCCATTTAGAGTTAATGATGGGCAGAACGAGAAAGCTCATGGGGGTATTTAGAAAATTGAGACACATCGCCGATAAAAACCTATTAAAACTGCTGTACAACTCACTAGCTCAGTCTATTTTGGTTTATTGTATTACGGTCTGGGGTGGTGCTGGTAAAATGAAGTTCCTGGATCTCGAAATAGCACAAAGATCACTCTTAAAAGTAATTTACTATAAGTCCCGTAGATATCCTACAGAAAGCTTATACAAAATGAGCGACGTGCTTTCGGTTCGACAGCTTTACATTTTAAATATTATTTTAAAAATGCACAAGAGTTTGGAGTATGATCCTTCTAAAACATCAAGAAGACGCAAACATAATGTAGCTCTGACTACTGCGGTTAGAACAATGTATGCAAGGAGGCAGTATATGGTTCGATCAGGACATCTCTATAATAAAATCAACAGAATTCTAAGTATATACTCAATGAACAAATTCAATTGCAAAATAACTGTAACATCTCTACTAAAAACTTGGAATTATGATAAAACTGAGACATTCCTGGAGGGCTAGGTGTTTGGATATTATATGTTTAAATAAACATCATTATCTTTTGCATTTTGGTGTTATATAGGTATCTCAGTAGAACCACTTTCAACAATACACTCTTTGTTCAGACACAAATACACGCGCACACACACGTACACGTACACTCACACACTCATACACCCACATACAAGCATGCATAAGCACAGACAAACAAATCGACTAAAAGAAATATTGTAAAAAAAAATATTTTTTTTTTTGCTATTTTTTAGATTTTATATCATTCTTATTAAAATATTAAGGTGATCAATAATTCAATGTACTATGTCTTTTAGCACGGAGAGCGGGAATTTCTAATACAAGTATATATTTACTTAAAAGAAATTCCCAATCGCAATACTGTATCGGAAATTATTGTATCAAATAAAGAATTTGTATTTGTATTTGTATTATGGTATTTTATCTTTAAACTAGAATTGTGCACGCGACTTCGTCGAGTCATTAAGTTTTCCTGTCATATTTTATTTTAGGTACCCGTTAGGGGGTGTAATTGTGAATACTAGATGAATCATGACTTTTTAAACTTTGTATAGCCATCGGTTCGAATTGCGTGAATCTTCAAATACCTATTCTTTTTTTACAGATGTTATGTGATATTACCAATAAACCTGAAAACCAGCGTTATTACAATGCTAAGGACTTTTTTGAAAGCGAGGTTACTCATCATCATAAATATTCTAGCCGTAAAAGAGTCCAAGTTGACTACAATGTTTCACCCGTACATTCTGGTGAAATCAGTCCAGATATCAGCGACAATGACGATCCGAGCTATAATAGTCAAATAAAAAGAAAGAAAATAGAACCAGTACATCTTTCATCACGTCGGTCATCATCTAGCTCCAGCAGCACTTCATCCTCCAGTTCAAGCAGCTCCAGCAGTTCTTCATCTTCTGATGATGATACAGTGATACAACCTTCTACTTCCGATCATGTGGATGAAAATACTATCAATAATATAGATACTACAGCTAATGGACAATCAACCAACGGACAAGAAACAAGTGAAATTAAAAACTCTGAAATGAACGAACTCAACATAGAAGAACAAACAGAGATTATTAAGAAGAAAGGTAGAAAGCGCACAAGTAATCCTCAAAAATGGAAACAAAACATAAATAAAATTCTAAGAAATTCTGGACGCTCCTATGAGACCGCGAAAAAGAAAACTGTTGCAGCTCGTGAAGTGAAACCACCTTGTACAGATAAGTGCAGACTTAAATGTTCTGAAAAATTTACATCTCTTCAAAGACAGGCTATTTTTGATGCTTATTGGAATATTGGTGAAGTAAATCAGCAGCGATCGTTTATTCAGTCTTGTATGTCCGATGTCACTCCTAGGTATAAATATTCAAATGCCATGCGCCCGAGGCAAGCTAATAAAGCTTTTAATTTTATAGTAAATGGTATATCAATCCGGGTTTGTAAAACATTTTTTGTTGGTACGTTGAATATATCCGATCGTGTAATTCGTACAGTAATCCAGAAGTGTCAAAACAATGGAGTTCTGCAAAATGATCGAAGAGGTAAACACGACAACCACACCACTACTGATGAAACACTCATTTCAGACATTAAAACTTTTATAGACTCAATACCAAGGGTTCCGTCACACTACACAAGGCAAACATCTACTCGCGAATACATAGACGGCGGCAAAACTATTACAGATCTCTTCAACGACTTCAAGGTAGCGCAAGAG